TGTACGATTCTTCGTCGGAAAGAAGTGGCCTGTACGATTCTTCGTCGGAATATATCTGCGCGTACGATTCTCCGTCAAAAAGAAGCGACGTGTACGATTCTTCGTCGGAAAGAAGTGGCCTGTACGATTCTTCGCTGGAATATATCTGCGCGTACGATTCTTCGTTGGATATTTTGAGGAGTACGATTCTTCGTAGGAGCCGTCGATGTGATCTAAACATTTCTTTGTTTCCTTCCATGATTTGTAATGAAATGGCTTTGTTTAGTAGTACCTAACGATGATTATACTTAAAAAAATATATATTGAAGTACAAAATTTATTTATTTAATATAAAACCCAGCAACAAAGTATTATGCATAAGGATATGTTGATTTACAAATGAATTGATCAGAATCGAGAAACGCATTCATTAGCTTGTTATTTAATAATATTTACCGAAATAAACATGATTTATTTAATTAAATGTTGCTTCATTATCAGCAAAACTACTTATTTAAATCGAACGTATCATGTTTTTGGACATATTCTTATGAATAATTTGTTTGCTATGGATGACCTATTTATTGCTTTGTATAAATCACTCAATGTTGTGAGATTGGTGTTACTGGAATATACGAAATAATCTTACTAAAAAATGTTTTTAAAACAACAATATCCTCTTATTGAACGCACTCTGAGAATTGAACTTATTGTTAGGAATAAATTGTTTTCCTTTTAACTAAACTTAATCAAATGTCAAGAAACAGTTTGAATTTACTAGAATAATCATAAAGATCGCACTAATTTACTGCTTTCTATTTTATCACAAATTTTTTTTTTTACTTATAATGAATAATTATTTTAGTACTTTTATTACGAAAATGAACTAAATAATCTCTCTAACTAATGTTTTTTTTTTTTTTTTGAGGAAATAAATATTTATCGAAGCAATGTTTATGTCTGTTATTCTGTTATTCTGTAAATTGATTATCTTTAATATTTCTCTAACTACAGAATTGATGGGTTATATAGTTTGAAACATGTACATTTTTTGAACGTATACTTATAAACGCTTTATTTTTGGAAAATTAACCATGGCTTGATGAGTTTCATATTTATCAATATAATTTTACTGAGTTGTTATTCTTTGGATCAAGAAAATATTCATTGAATTTTGTGAAATATTTATTACATTGTTATCCCATAATACTGAAGTGTATAGTAATTCGTTTTATATTGACAAATGTTGTTTCTTTGTCAGCAAAAAACTCATTTAAAATAAATTATATTCCTGAAAATATAATAAATATTCAATTCGGTGTGGTCAACTATTGTTTTTTATTCAAATGAATGATTTGTACAATTTGTTTCCATGAAGTGGTCAAAATAATCTCGCTTAAAAATAATGTTCTTAAAACGATTAAATCCTTTTTTTGAACTCGTTTCAAGTACAGTTTATTTCTCGAAAATAAATTACTATTTTCTTTAAATTAATATCAATCGATTGTTAAGGGAAAGATTGATTGACTAGAACAATCATAACGATGTAAGTAAGTGACTGTTCGTTGTATCAGAAAGACATATTAGCTCATCATCTCTTAATATTAAAAATAGTCTGGTATGGTATTTTGATTTCTAGGACTCTTTTCAGCTTTTGCCACATCAAAGACCTTTTTTGCTTTCAATTTTTTGCCCTAACCGCACCGTGTGCGAATCTTTCGTGCGGGCCCCTTGCAAAGTTCCCCTCAGACAATTTGGTTATCCATCCTACTGGATACTATTTACAGGGTGCAGCGATTGTTTCAAGCACACTCCAGCTATTATCAAGTTTCATGGAAAGATATTTTCTAATAAACCATTTAACTCACTGTACCAGCCTTTTTACAACTGACAGTGATTTTTACCCGATGAGCTGGCCGTGTTAGCTTTCCTTTGAAAAGGAAGCCCCTGGAGATCCAGACATTACTAGAAAAATCGACTGTTGATTATAAAAATCGAATGAGTGGTTTTTCGGTACTCTGGGTACTCTGTACTCGTCCCATCGAAAAAATTTGAGAAAAATATCTTGATGATGTTTGACAGGATTCGGACCCACGAACCCTTGAGTATCTTCGGCTAGGAGGCTACTAGCATGTTAACCACTAAGCCATCGAAGTTCTTTTGAAAATAGTATGAATCTGTTTCATTGTAATCAGTATATATTCTTCGTCAGCAAAACTATTCATTTTAAACGGATGGCACATGAGTATTCATGACAAAAAAATTAGGTATTTAATAAGTGTAACCAACAGTATTTTGGAACGCATGCCATTAATTTCTACTGTGTAAAACAGTGTGTATTCGAAAATACTGTTGTTTCAACTTACTAAGTACTAATTTCGTCGTTACAAACATTTATAATCCTTGAAATGCTAAACTTTCACGAAAAACTTAAAAATAAAATAATACTTTTTATATTGTTATGTCCTATTTTACTAGCTTGTGTGCCCTAGTTTTGCGACTTTCTGCCGAAAGATAGCTCTGCCGGTAGTGCTTACCAAGCATATAGCCTTACTGTTTGTTAAATCAAAAAAAATTTCATTCAATTTCTAAGATTAATTATTAGCTTTCTATTCTGAAGTAAACAAGTTCGTGAATGTATGTTTTATTTGAATGTACGTTGTTTCTCCGTCAGCAAAACTACTCACTTGAAGCAAATGAATTATACTTCTATACGTAATCTTTTCAACATTGTATTTGGTGTGGTTCACCATTCATTGCTCGAGATAAAAATAAATTAATTATTACTCTACATCTTGTTTTACTGGTAAAAATAAAAGAATCTTTATAAATAATGTTTGCTTAACCAAATTAACATTAATTTGATGGTAACAAGTAGTCTTTACTCTTACATAAATCTGATGTCTTCCAATGACCGAATATTTATTTAATTCGTTTGAAAGTTATTTTTTTTTAACAAAATAATTTTTTTTAAACAAATGAATCTGTTTGGAAAATATTGTTACTGTTGACTTATTTGTCACAAATGGATCAAAATATATCTTTTAATTCGAATAAATCGGTTGTTAGTATACAGGTCAATTTATTAAAATAAATAGTAAATCTTACTGATCTGCTGTTTCTTGATATAAAAAAATGATTATTTTATTTTAATAACACTCATTAGCTTCTCATACAATAATATTCAAATAAATGAATGTTTGTTTCATTAAAATAAATTTTATTTGTCGGCAAAACTACTCATCGAAAATAAATACATCATGCTTTTAAATTGATACATATGAATGATTTTTTGCAATAGATGAATATTTGTCGCTTTTGACAAAATTGAATTCACTAGTTATTATTACTTAGATCAAAAAATATTTACTAAATTTTTATAAATCTTTTTTAACTAGGAATCCAATAATATTGGAAATGGTAAATATTTCTATGATTTTAATAAATACTGTTACTCTGTCAGGAAAAAATGTATACAAACAAATAAATTATATTCGTAAATGTTTTATTAAACTGATCTTATTTTCAAACAAATAACTAGAAAAGTAAAGCATTAAATATACGTTATTGTAAGAATTAACCATAATTTTTATCCCACATTTTTAGGAAGTTTGTAAAAATGCCGACCAAAAAAACCATCCATTCGTTACTTGTTGTTTCTACATTCATCAATTACAGTTCGTAGCGGAATATAATGTTTTTTTAAAAATAAAACAATAATACAGATTGTAAACGAACATCAACTACTCAGACGGTGGGACCAGGTGTACAACAGGATGGTGATAAGAACTTGTGGAGTTAGTCACACCACTTTTTATCTCTCTGCCTCACATTATTTATAGTATTGTAATTAAAACGTAATAGACAGAACTCTTCTATGCAATAGTTAAAAATAGTTCTTATACAATATACACATTTTTACAAACTATTTATACAATTTTTGTAATCTATGTGATCGGCTTCAAATTTTATTGGAAAATAAAACTTATAAAAATACGGGGGTTGGTAAAAATTGAAGAATGATGTAATAAAAAAAATTTTACGATGTAAAAGTAAAACTTAGGCTTGCAGAAATAGTATAATTTTTTTAACATACGTAATTCATTTCTATTTACTGAGAGTTAAGAAGTATACCAAGCTCAGAAGATTTCTCTAATTTTCAAATCGTTTGTATAGTTTCATGAGAGACTTTTGTAGTTTCTTTAGAATTGCGAATAAATTTTAATGAATTAGGGAGCAATAATCTTGGTAAAAATTTTTAGCTATAAGAATAAGCTGTGATAATGACACTATATTTATCTGTTATGTAATATACAAAAATGTAAAAAAAGGTATAAATTGTATTTTTTTGCAGTTTAAAATTGTATTACAGATTTTCAAGACAAAAAAACTTTTTTTCTTACTCTTAGCACTACTCAGACAATTTATCTTTTTAAGTAATTCCTAGCCTACGGAGAAACAATTATTAGAAAATTTTTTTTTTCAATCATTTCTAATCTACCAGGAAACAATTATTTAAAAAAGTTTTCTGTTTCGTTTTAGTTTTAAAATCACTTAAAATTAAAAACTGCTTCTTTACACGATTTTGATAATAAAAATCATATCTATTTTTTGTATTATCACAGTGAAAAATTAAACCTCATATTTACAGCAAAAAATTATTGACTGAGAGAAGAACAGGTGTTTCTCTATACTAACCTGTGCGTTTGAACTTTGTGAGAGTCAAGATCAAGGATCTCAGCGTGCTCCTCAGGCTCCTTCTCATTCTTGCATGCAATGATTGCATCAAAGTCATAAGACTGTCCCGACATCCCCTGCTGCTGATCAAGTCGTGTTTGTGAACGTAAAGCGTGTATCTGATGCTGTGGCTGTTGCGCTTGCGCTTGGTTCAGCTGCTGTTGTACAAGGCTAGTTGTTGGTGATTGTAGTATGCACTGGGTACCTGGTAAGAGCTCGTGGCTACGCTCAAAATGTTCGGTGAGTTGAGTCACATCTTCAAAAATAGAACTGCACTTGTTGCGTTGTACTATACCCGATGAGTTTGTTTCCGTGGTTATGTCAGATTGATGGGTGGGAAGCTTGTAAGAGTAAAAGCTACGCTCAGTAGTGATATGTGGTGATAATTTTTGTTCATCTATCTGTTGCTGCTCGGAATCTAAAGAGGGTGATGGTAGTGCAAACTCTCGACTCATAAAGTACTGTGTATCGCTGAAATTAGCCAATGTAAAAGGCTGGTCGTAATTATGGTCTTGTAGTTGTTGTTGTTGTAGCATTTCAGGTCTAATGTCACCAGAGTTTAAGCGGAAACCTGCTTTGCATATACCAGATGATGCAGTTTCGTTACTGAGTATGTGCTTCCCTGAGTTACTAACCTGCTGTTGGCCATGCTTATTGTCACACTCACTACTGTCATCATGAATATTCTCATCGTTATTGTTCTTTCTTGTCTGACCTCCCCATTCATTCATTAAATTTGGATGATGAAAGCGTATGTGTACATCAAAACTGTTACTACTATCCAAGTGGATATTACAATTGCTACACCACAATAGGTTTTCATCAATGTTAACACCAAGTTGGTGCTGCTGATTATTAACAACTTTAGTCATTTCACTCATAACAAATTTTTTTTTTTTTAATTTTTGTTTCCAGACAGAAAATAACTTTCGCTCAAGTACCTATTTGCACTAACACTGGCACGTTCACTGGTCATTAAGTAAAATTAAACAAGGCTGTTATTCTTGAAATAAGATAAATAGTCAAATTGAAATAAAATTAATGGGACATAACGAACTCGATCTCTTAGAGCCCGCACGTGGAACTAAGCGTTTGCACAAAACAGGCTTGTGCTTCGGAACATCCGCACATTGAAACCCTAAGCTTTATTAACTGCGTAATTTTTTCCATAATGTCTTTTACCACCTTTATTACTATTTATCTTCTTTGACTGCCTTACTCTTTGTTTTCAACAAGCTGGAAGTCTTGGAGTAAATGGAAAAAAAAATGAAAAAAAATAAAATAAAAAAACAATATTAAATAAAGAAACTGAACAAAAACAGAGAAACTCTTTTTGGTCAGTTCACATCTTAATATTTGTCCTGGGCCTGCGAAGATCTCAATCTCAAAAATAATCTTCGTTGGCAAATGTCACAAATTTTTAATATTTCCACAACAACTATTATAGCTGCCACCTCTTCTAAATATGAAACGAGCCTTCCACATTCTTTGTTGATTGAGATGAAGTTTTGATGTAAGCGTTCAGAAATATGACATATTTAGTTACATAGAATGCCTGTTAAAAATTTTCCGTTACCACTAAGGTTTTCTAACTCAAGAAATATATAAAAAATGAGAGCACGAAAGATAGAAAGTAATCGCTTCAGCAGATAAATGCTGTTACTACGAGTCCTGAGCCAAAATACCTACTGCCGAAATTCTATACTAACGCTGCCTTGAACTGCACATTCTCCCTACCATCATACTGAGCCTTAGTCAGCTTTACTTTCTCTTTGCCCCCTCTTCACAAGCTTGTTGTTACCTTATACCTTCTCTTCTACCTTCTCCCCCTCACTTTCGCTGATTCTCTCTCTTTCTTTATCTCCATCCCTCTCTCTCATACACTCTATCTCTTGCTTGCATGGGCTAGCATTGATAGCTGAAAAGCTGAGTCTGCATAGCCCCTTTCCTCTAACGGCACTACTCCTCGAGACGCTTCGAGAGCCAACCAACCAAATTTCAGGATCCTCTTCTTAGGATATGGCTTTCTCTTTCCCTTCCTATTCTTCCCCTATTCCCTTGGCACTCGTCAGCAAAGTTCCCGCTCCAACTCTCTCGTTTCTCCCACTACCCTATACTAATGCTCTCATCCTTCTTTTCTTAGTTTTCTCCTCCTCACATCAGACATCCCAGAATGACTAGATTACCCTTGCCACTGCGCCCCCGCTTGAAATAATGTATGTAGTACACATTGTCTTTGTCTCTCTTCTCCCTTTTCATAAACATTAGAAAAATTCGTCCATTTGGTTGTTTATATCTGCAGCTCTCTGCTTACACAGCCACTTGCCTTGTTCAAAGACCATGTAGATCCTCGAATTCTTTCCCCTCAACCTTCTGTTAAATGCTTGACTCAACATTTCATCCAAGTCGAAGGTCATGCCAGGTTGCTCTCAACCTTGTATATCAGGTAAGATACTAGATACGACATAGTACCTTTACCACCCATGTTCGTACCACCACCCGTGGTCATGGCCACGGACTTCGACTCAACTTGCTTCTCGCTGGTCTTCCCCTTACTTACTGTGGTAGTTTGAATCTGGTCAGAGAAATGGAGTGAGTATTTTGCTGCCTACAAAAACTGTGCAAAGATAGGATAGGAAATGGAGGGCAAGGAGAATAAGCACTCCTAGTATCCCACATTATTTTTCTTTTTCTTTCTATTTTTTATTCTCGGTAATATTGACAGGATGAAAAATTTGATAGCTCAATTTATGAAGAAAAAAATTAGCATAGTCCGATCATTTGTTTAGTTTCCCAAAAATAAATAACCTTACATACTCTAAAAGTTACTGATATTAACAACCCTACAAATGTGTCTCCTTTTTTGTGAGTACATGTATGATAGAAAATCAACAAAAAATTTACTATTTTCATCCCCCAGTTTTTTTTTTAAAAAATTTTGAGGCACACTCTTAAGAATGGGCTTATTTTGCTCTCAATGTTTTGTACTACAGTTTTCAGTAGAGTACCGTTTTTCTACGATTGACATAAAATTATTACACATATGGACATAATTTTTTTTACAAAAATGGCGAAAAAACAGTTGTACCTCCCCTTAAACTTGTGTTCGCGATTTTTTCCTTATCGTGCATTATATTACGAGCAAAATAAACCTTATCTCAAAACTATGCCTTAAAAGAAAATCTTATCAAAAAGTGAGGGGAAAAACGGGATATTTTTTGTGAATTTACTCACATAACTAACATTCTGATTTACTTACCTTCAATATACAAATACACTACTTTAGATAACGTAAACTTGCAATCATAATTAAAATCCTCTAAAGTTTAAAACTACTTACGTACATAAGGTATTATAAATTAATTGTGAGTTTTCTATAGTCTGAAGTACTATTTTATCCAATGATTATATTCTATTTCTTTATTTTATAAGGTATTTTACGTCCAACTAAAGATATTACACATCGTATTAAACATGATATTTTCAATCAAAAGGATTATTTAGAAAGACAATAAATTTTTCAGTTAATTTACTTATTTTGACAACAAACACAGTGTACAAAATAAAATTATTTTGAAGTTACGAATAATATGTTATTTTAATATAGTACTCTATGTTGGTGTGATAAAGAATTTGAACTTGACTTTTTATGATGAGGGTATTAATAATCAAAAAAGTATAGCGTATACTTTGCAAACCTAGACACGTTCCAGTACGTTGTGATCTCAATTATTACAGCTACAGCTTATCTATGGCAAAGAAATAATTTTCCAAGGGACAGAAGTATCAATTATATTATCTTTTATCTTTTAAATAGAACAGTTTTAGTAGTAATACACGTCTAATAAAAATAAGATAATTTCTATGCCTCGTATGAGAGATATTTAAAAATGAAGTCCGCGGTTCTTTCTTGGTTATACCTGGTATCTTATAGAAAGGGACGTCTTATTAATTACTGTTTTTGATTTGCTTCCAAAAATATACAGTTTTCGTCAAAAAACCTATGTGTTAATATGTTAAAAATATTATACTCAAATTTTAAAATGATCTTGTGTATAGTTGTCGAGATATTAACACATTATGTCATCTGTTAAAAGAAGTATTATTTGAAAAACAGAGATTAGAAGGGAGATTGCCAGCGCCTATGGTAGAGAGTGTGTCGCTTTTTTTCCACTGTTTTGAGCGCCCCGTCGCGGAAAATCAGCCGAACTATACGCACGTTTCAGCAGCGGAGGAGAAGACCAAATTGTGCGTACGATAGGTACCTAGTAGAGGGGGAAGGAATATGTGCGTATACACGGGTATAGCTATATATGTTTTGTATTCTAGCTGCCTCGGCTCTCGGCTCCCGGCTCTCGCAGCTCGCAGCTCTCGCATGCATGCGTATACCTATATCTATTCCTGATGTGATGTTCCCTCAAAAGCGGTTTTGAATGTTGGACAGTTATTATATGTCCGGTCATATATTATTCATTAAATGTGTATTAAATACTTGTACAGCTAAATACTGAGTTTTCCTCGTATAAAATAAAAAATTGAGTAATAAAAACGTAAGCCCCGATATTTAATGTAACTTCTTGAAACTTGATATTTATAAAATAATCATTTTTACAACTTGAATAATTTATGTTTTTATAGATTTATAAAAATTTAGCACATTAAAAATATCAGAATAATACACACACGCTTTACTTTGATTTTTAAGTTTATTCAATAGAGAATGACTTTTTCTGTAATTAAAATATCATTCTTCAACACATGTAACTTTTCTAATAAGAATAAGTAATTGTGAAAATATTTAGAAAAACAATTCTACTTGTAGGCCAAACTTTAACACAATTATCAATATAAAGAAAAAATAAACTAATACTTAAGCTTAAACCCTGGAGCTTCACGATAAACATGTGTCACTGTAAGTGCTAAAGAAAAGAGTGCGTTGGTAGTCAAGGTAACTAAGTACCGCATTGTGTAATTTTGCTTTGAGCATTCTGGGGTTCAAATCTCGCTCGCAGCAGAATTTTTTTTTTTTTACGATTTTTTTTTATGGTAGTACAAAACTTTTTTTTGATAATAGTATTTAATTCTCATGTTTATGTTGCTTACCGACTACGCTTTGTAAATTCATTCCTTGTAAAGTTGGGTGATTTTGTTAGATATTTAAATTTTTTAATAAAAATATAATATCATTAGTGGGGAAAATGCTAATTACCATTTCATCCTTTTTTAGATGGCTATAAAACTATTATTGATGAAGTTAAAAATCAACCAAAAGTAATTTAATAGTACTAAGTTATTTTACACTATTCTAACAAAATGGTTATGATCTCACTTCGATGAGGATCACACCTTTTACAACCCAATTAATAATTGTGTTAAACTTATTCAAACAATTAATTAAACTATTAGAAACCAGGAAAATTTTTGAAAACACTTTTTATCAAATGATTTTTCATTGCTTTTCCAAGTTAAACACAAGTTTATTGATAAAACACTCAGTTAACTGGAGAGCAAAGTATGGCATCACTTAACATAAAGGAAACCATGAAAACATTAGTAAAATAAAAGGCAAGGTATTAAATATTTAGGACTTAAAAATTTTTTTCCTATTTTAGAACTAAATTTTGCCTATTCTATAGATATAACTTATGTTGTACAAGTTCTTACACTAATTTTGATGATTCAGATCAAAAAATTGTTTTTAAATCCATACGGCATTTACCAAAAAAATTAAATTTATAGTACCTTATAATTTTTTCAGAGCCACAATTGTGACCTCTTATTAATCGTCTATATTTTGTTTAAAAAATTTTTAATCTAATAAAAGGGTAGTCTGAATATGTCTCATGGTGTATACATGTCATAAAATGTATGTAAAAAAACGTATTGCGGGAAAACTGGGCTTTTTTTGTCCATGAGCACTGCACTAAAAATGCTCTCAAAATTTTACGCTTTGATCAAACTTGTCTGATTGTAAGCTCTCAGTTGAGACA